ATCTATCTACTTCTTTCCCATCTCCTTCTTTCTCATCTTGTTCTTCCTCATCTTGTTCTTCCCCCCTTGGCTTTTCCTCATCCTCTTTCTCATTCATCTAGTTCTTTAATCTAAATCTTCTCCAATCTAGTTCTCTCTCTAGTCTCTGAGATTTACTGTTATATACCCATGCAATAGCAATGTTCTGGCTCAGGCAAGGTCACCATGCTGGAATTCCCTCAGGGTCAAAAGGAGAGGTAATAAGATCCACACAAAAGAACAGTAATTTCTGGGCAGTGGTGGTGCATGCCTTTAAAATCCCAGCACTCAGGAGGCAGAGGCAGGCAGATCTCTGTGAGTTCAAGGCCAGCCTGGTCTCCAAAGCAAGTTCAGGGAGGGTGCAAAGCAACACAGAGAAACCCTGTCTCGAAAAACAAACAAACAAACAAACAAAAAAAGAGCAATAATTTCCAGCTATCATCTGCAAACCCAAAGGGAAGTGACTAATATAGAAATGAATCAACTAAGGGCTAAATTTGGTTAATATCTAAGCAAAGCAGATTTATGTGCTAAACTACATTCATAGAAGTGGTTAGGTACAGTGTTAGCAGTCCACCAGTGACAAGTGAAAATAAAACTGCCGGGCTAGAAAGATTGCTCAGAGGTGTGTCTAGGCCCCTGAGCCTGTCATGGGTGGTGTGTGGTCATGCTGTTTTGGGGCCCCTTTACATGTGGAAGGATGGAATGTTGAAGTTCAAGAGGCACAAATAGTATAAATTCTCTCTGGTCCCCTCACTAGCCCATTTCCTACCAACCTCTGCATCTCAGCTAACATCCTTGTGACAATCAGGAAAAGTCTTAAGCTGATACCACCCATGGATCCACCCAGGGATGAGGAAGTACCTGTATCCCAAACATTCCAACCATTAGATAAGGTGGTCAGATATCCTTGAGTCTAGCACACACCTATTTTTCTTTTATAGATACCCACCAGACAATTGTCAGCCAATCAGGGTCCTGAACCTTGGATACCCCTCACCTCAACCTCTGCTGATAAAAACTCTACGCCACCTGAGCTCTGGGCTCTCTGCTCTCACCTCTGTGTTGGACAGACAGGGAGACCAAGCTCAGAGCTTAAAGAGAAAAAAGGCTCTTTGCTTTTGTATTTGGGATTTGGTCTCCGTGGTGGTCTTTTGGGGCTCCCCATGATCTGGGCATAACATACAGTCTCCCCGTGGAATCTTCACAGTGTGGATTCTATAGGGAACTACAGCTCAAACTTTAGTAGTTGAGATGGACTCAAGTATTCTTCTCAAGCATCAAGTAGAGACAGAAAATAAAAGGATTTCAAGCCACCAGTAAGGTGCTTATTCCATGGTACACCTCACATAGTTACTCAATTGAATTCCATAATGTGGAGAAGGTTTCCCTTGGGAACCTGGAAAGCTGTTAACTACAACTGTCTGCTCCCGTCTGGAGAGATGGCTCAATGGTTAAGAGCACTTACTGCTCTTCTATAGGTCCCAAGTTCAATTCCCAGCAACCCATGGTAGCTCACAACCACCTGTAATGAGATCTGGTGCCCTCTTCTGGCCTGCAGGGACACATGCAGGCAGAATACTGTATACATAATAAATAAATAAATTTTAATAAAATAAAATTTTAAAGACTGTCTGTTCCCTTCATTTTATGAGCGAGTAGGCCACAGGACACCCTGTGAGATGGCTCAGTGACAGTAAGCATGTGTCAAGAAGGGAGCCAACTGTGTGAGACAGTGAATGCCCAAGTACAGGACCCTTCCTCAATAGAACTCTACAGGGACAGAACAGTTGGTACCATGTTCTACCAACTACTTTTCAAAATGTAAAATAGTTGTGTCTCGTGTTGGCTTTGTATGTTCTGAAGTTGTCTTATAATAAAGAAGTAAGATTTTTCAGAATGTCCATGAAAGTCATTGCTTCATTAGAGCTGGCAGCATTAAATTTCTGATCTCTTCTCAGTACAGGGCCTGTTAGTGTGAATAGCGCAGGGCCCAGGCCTGAAGATGCTGAGCCATGGAGGCTTCATGAAAGCCATTGCTATCTTTAAGACTGGTAACAGGGCACACTTTGCTCTCTGAGAGGAAGTCATGGAATCTTCTGACCAGAAGTGGAGTTAATGAAGTACTAGGTAGGATTACTCATGTTTTTATAGTTTACCAATTAAGAAACAAATGTTGAAATCAGATATTGGAATCTGAAAATGCTGGGAAACAAGGGTCAGCAGTTTCAAGGGTCTAGAAGGGCAGAGATGTCTGGCAGGTGCAAGAAAAGACTCAGAAACACGAGTTGGTGCGAGCTGATGAGTCTTGTCAGATCTGGAGATGTGCATTTTCTCTGCCTTCACTTCATCTGACTCAACGCCAGTATTTATTGTAATAATACAAGGAAAAAAGGGATGAGAAAATTCAACAGGTGAATTTTCCTGGGTTCTTCACAATAGTTTCACAAGTTCTTTTTGTAAGTCAGCAAAGTGTACCCTGTGCCCCTTGATTGCACATACAAGTTCCCAGGAAGAAAGCCAAATCACAGCAGCTTATTCTTTTGCAGGTTAATACTTATCAGAACATCTGAGGGTGTCACCTCAGAGGCCATCTACCTGTGGTTTCTCAGAAAGCACAGAAATACAAGCAATGGTTAAAGGTACCAGACTGCCAGCTTCCTCTCAGCTTAAGTCCTTCTTCATCACTCTGTAATTCACCACGTTGTCTTCTGACTAGTTCTGGACAACTCTTGTCTTCTATCCTATCTATATGTCACTACATCTACAGTTTTCTGCCACCAGCCTTCTGTGTTTTTCCCATGACCTGCAAAACAGCTTTAATTCCTGCCATTGTCAAAACCTCAATATCATTTCTAATTTCATGGAAACCAATGCAGGAGAGAGAAAGAAAATCATAAAGAGCAAATAGAGTAGGAGGATCACAAGAACCAGTAACAGTTGGATGGGTGAGAACATGACATGCATACGCCATAAAGTCTGCCCTCGGGGAAAAAAGGGTTGTTTTCTCCCTGGCCCACAGAAGGCAGGCTTAGTAGATTATCCAGTGGGGCAAGTCCAGGGGTTGATGTCCTCATTCTCCGGTACCTCCAGCACAGATTCCACTGGCAACATGTCAGGTTTTTCATATGTCCTCTCTGGTGTGAAGACAGGGAACATCATTCATAAATGGGCTTAAAAGTAGCAGCCCTAGAGGTTCTGGGAGGATTAGGTGCCTGTGAGTAAATAGCCCATCACTTTCTTCACATCAGATTCTACAAAATCTGAGCAAACATTAGTGATATGTTACCTAGGAGGAAATCTAGGCATAGAGGGGCTCTGTGAATGGCAGATTTTGATCTCTACGCAGTGCTCTTCTGTGTCTATAAATATCCCCCGGGAAGATGTGGTCTCAGTCATAGTGTGTGGAAGTATGAGAGATGCTTCATATTCTCTTCCAGTCTGTCTTGCTGGTGTTTTTTGGTTGAGATTTGGGGACTAACCACTGTGGCTCTGAGCAGACACTACTCTGAGTCCATCAAGATGCAAGTGCATCTTTGCCATTAGAAGGCTGGTCTCTGCTTAGAGTTCTACCAGAGAACACACTCTTGTCTCTGCCTTCAGTTTTCTTTTATAGCTAAATGTGAGGAAGGACTGGGAAAGAAAAGGCTGTTTGAGAGGACAGTCATCCCTAGCAGAGAGGCCTGTGTGATTCATAGTCAGTGGATCCATGCCATGATTCAGTGTGCTGAGTGCAACAGTTAACCAGTGTCTTCTTGTTGTCCTGCAGGTCAACACCATGATGCACCCTCAAGTCTTCATTTCAGGACTCATACTACTTCTCCCAGGTAAGTGAGTAGGTGAGCTGGGGGAGGCTGAAGAGGCTAGAGCTGGCAGAAGAGATGACAATTTTTGGGCCTTTTCAATTATGGCTTATGTTGTGAGCAGAGAACCAGGATAAATTGTAGCTCCAAAGAACTTTCTTAATCTGTATGAATTTCAAAACTTATGGCTAAATAAACATGATCACCAAGAACATGTTAGGTTAAGAGTAAGAACACATGCATTCATGTGATGGACAAGTAAGGATGAGTGTACATGTATGCATGTGATGGACAAGTATGGGGTGAGAGCACTTCTATGGGTTCTATGACAAGTAAATCTGATTTCATGTACATGCATGTGATGGACAAGTAAAGCTGATTGCATGTACATGCATGTGATGGATAAGTAAGGATGATTGCATGTGCATACATGTTATGGACAAGTAAGGGTGAGTGCACATGCATGCATGTTATAGTCAAAGGTTAATAAAAAAATTACAAACAGAGCTTTCCATGCATGATGACTACTCAAAGTCAGCCTTCATGGCATTTCTTTGTGTGTTTTTGCTTTTTAAAACCAAACTTCGGTGATTTATTTGGGAGCTGGGTGGCGGGCCCCCAAAGAACAAAAGAGCTAAAAGAGTAAGAAAGAACCAAAACGTTATTTGGCAAAATCAATACTGAGTGTCCTAGTAAGAAAAATATACTCATTACATAACAAGGAATGTGCTTTCTAGGTCACGTCCCAAACTCATAGCCTAGGTTATATATAGGTGATTGGTTAGGGAATCTCACAGTTAATTATTTTGTGCTTTTGTTTGTTTATTTGTTTGTTTCCAGTGCTGGGATACAACACAGGGACTAGCACGGGCTAGCCAAGCACTGTATCATTGAGCTGCAACTTTAGCCCTCAGAGTTCCTTTAAAGGCCACTGTGGAAGCTATTAGTATTAGAAATTTTATTTCATTATCCCACAAACAATTTTATTTAATCATTTCAATTTTAAAATTGCATCATTATATTATTGGTTGTGTATTTTTTTCTTTTCTTTTTTTTTAAAGATTTATTTATTTATTTATTATGTTTACAGCATGTATGACTGCAGGCCAGAAGAGGGCACCAGATCTCATTACAGATGGTTGTGAGCCACCATGTGGTTGCTGGGAATTGAACTCAGGACCTCTGGAAGGGCAGTCAGTGCTCTTAACCTCTGAGCCATCTCTCCATCCCAGTTGTGTATTTTCTATGTGATCTTACTTTACTAGTTAGTAGGTCTTAGTCAAGTTCTGGAATGTCACTAACTTTTAAAAAGGGACCTCTGCTTAGTTTATGTGTGAGTGTGTGAGTGTGTGTGAGTGTGTGTGTGTGTGTGTGTGTGTGTGTGTGTGTGTGTGTGTATGTGTACCCACAGGCACGCTATGATGTGCGCGCTCACTTGTGTGTCTATGTGTGTTTTAAGGGTCAATCATAAAATTCAGAACAAGCCTCAGTCTCTCCTTTCTGAAGACTGGCTTTGAAGTTACTAAGGTTCTGCCTTGAAGCCAACAATGCTTTTCCAAAGCCCTGGCTCTGCTCTTTGATTAGGAGAGGTGGGAAGAGTTAGTGATTTTGTTGTTATAGCACTGTGGGGGAGGAGGAGGGATGGTTTCACATAAGGTCTCCAAATCCTAGACCTGCCTTCAACTCAATAGTTAGATGAAGCTGGCCTTGAATTCCTCATCTTCCTCCCTCTACCTCCAAAGTTCTGAGTATACACGTGAGTTCTAGGTTTACAAGTGAGTTCTGCGTATGCAAGTGAGTTCTGGGTTTACAAGCATTACTCATAGCATGGATTTTGAAATTAAAAGTTTTAAATTAATAAACCATGACAACAACAACAAAAACATTTCAGCTGGTCTCAGTGGTAAATGATTACTATCCCAGCACTCTGGAATCAGAGGTGGGAGATCTTGACTTTCAGACAGACAAGGTATAAAAAGACCCTGTCTCCAAAGAAAGTCACTCTCTGAATAAGATAAAGGTCAAGAAATTTTTGTGAATATCATACAACAGACAAGTTGTTTTGTTCACAAATTTACCCATTAAGTAATCACACTGAGGAAGAATATGCTAAGAGGAAACTGTTAACAGTCTTCAAATTCAGATAGTAAAACTGGACATTTAATCATGGGATTGGAGAGGTAGGGCCAGCCAAGCTCTGGGAGTTTGAAGTCTGGTTTATGCAGCAAGTTCCAGGACAGCCAAGGCTGCAAAGTGAGATCTTGGCTCAGAAAACCAAATGATAACAACAAACATTAAGTTGTCATTCCCTCCAACCCCCCCAACAACACACACACACACACACACACACACACACACACACACACACACACACATTCACACCAATGATAAAGAAGGCTAGTGTTGTACCTGTTTCTCAAAACCCCCAGAAACCACCAAGGAACAGGTTTCAGATGCAAGGACATAAGAGTCCTTTATTCAGGTTCACCCTGGGCCACCACACAGCAGATGGAAGGAAATGTGGCTGCAGCCCAGGTGTAGAGAGTTTTTATAGGAAAAACCACAAGCCAGGAATTGGTAACTTATGATTGGGTAGAAGGGATATGGCGCAAGGTGAATTTCTGAAACTATTGGTCTAGACTTTGGGCATGAACACACATTTGAAACCATTGGGTTAGACTTTTGGTGGAACCACAACTCACTGAACAGGATAATCTGAACTACTCAGCAGGATTATCTAGATATCTTCAGAGCCACCTTCCTGAGGTAGTTCATGGAACTGTGAACAGCAGATGGTCTGAGATCGTGGCCCTTTCCCTAAGCTAGAGCCTGTAAAGTCAGGTCTAGGCCCTCACACTAGGGCTGTAGTTCAGTGGACAGCACTTGCCTCAGTTTTATAATACCTTAATTAAATTCCAGTTCAATACCCCCTACCGTAATTTTTCTGAAAAGAAATATGAACAAAATTTTAGGAAAATGTTGGGTAATGATTCTCAATTTATTCCCTCTCTCTTGTTTTTTTTTTTCCATCACAGGTGCTCTGGGTTCTTACATAATAGTAGAAGGTGTGGTGGGTCACCCTGTCATATTGCCATGTACTTACTCAACACTTGAGGGAGTCACTACCACATGCTGGGGCCGTGGCGAATGTATGCTTTTTTATTGTTCTAAATCACTTATCTCGACCAATGGAAACTATGTGAACTATAAGAGGAGCAGCAGATACCAGCTAAAGGGGCCTATTTCAGAAGGAATCGTGTCCTTGACAATAGAGAATGCTGTTCAGAGTGACAGTGGTTCATATTGTTGTATAGTGGCAATTCCTGAATCTTACCGTTTTGTGACCTATTCCTTGGAAATTAAACCAGGTAAGCTTTCTTTATTTCCTTTGTTTATTTCTTCAAGGGACCCTAGTCCTCTGTGTGCTAATATTTTCTGTTTTTCTCTAAGAATGAAACCAAAGGTTGCTATAAATATGTTTGTGTATTGGTGGAGAGTTCTGCTCCCTGTCTGCCCTGCCTTGAGCCTTTGAAATAGTTCTCACATCCTATCACACAATTTGTTGCCTAAAACTGGAAATGTCCATATAGAAGAAGGTTCCCTAAATACCTGTTCACATGTTCCCCCATAGTGTGGTAACAGATGAGGAGCAATGGCTAGTCCATAAATGATGCTGACACACAATTCCCTCCAATGAGCTTTGTTAGAATGAGGAGGCCTCAAGGCCAAGATCAGACCTCCAGCTGGGAGGGAGAGCATTAGACAGAAAAAATATGGTCTATGAGGTTCATCCCTGGATGGGGGGTGAAGAGGCTTCCAGGGAAGGAGGGGCTTCTCTTACAACCTGAGGAGTTTCATTAAGAGCAGAAATGTGAGAGGGAGAGAGGGAGGACTAGAGAGATTGCTGCCATGATTGGAATGGCAGGTCTACAGAGGATCCTCTTGAGAGAGCAGCCTGCAAAATAATCCTCTCAACATTCCCCCTGAGGGGTCTCAGGCTGGTCCCCAGAGCAAGGAGAAAGTCTGATTTGTTACATCTTTTAGTGGTGGAGGTGTTAGCTGCTAGGTCTCAGGATGAAGGCAAACTAAGGTGCTTGCTAACATATCAAAGCAGACACTAGCTGCCATTCTCTCAGCAATGCCAGTGCCTGGCACACCCCGCCCCCTCCATAAATCTCTAGTTTAGGGACTAGGCTGAGCTGCCCCTCCCCCAGCTGCTCATCCCTATGTAACCCAGCCTTTTTGGCTAGACAGGCCCCTTTCGGTTCTTGACCTCTTGGCCCCCACTGTTGGCTCCTTGCTTTCCCCTCTCCTCACATAAGGAGTTCAGTTTGCTGGTCAAGTTCACTCTGGACCCTTTTGGACGCCTCTGTCTGTTTTCTCCCTCATATCTACAGTAAATCATTTTTCCACCATGAGTAGGAGTAGTCACGTCTTCCTTTTGTTTTGTTTTGTTTTGTTTTGTTTTTCTTTCATTCAGGAAGGAAGTTTCCTATCATGTGATTTAGTTCACCATAGCTTAAGTGACAGAAAGCATTGATCAGCGAGATGTTGATTAGGTCTGTAAATCAGGGCTGCTGTTAGGGCACATAGCAGACAGACTCTAACTATATCAGAGAGCAGCAGGAAGGTAGGGCTTGACCTATTCAGAATGTGGGATCTGGTCTAAGGGTGCAAACCCATGTTCTAACAGAAGTTTATGAAAACCCTATCTGTAATCGTTACATTTTCTTTGTCTTTGTTTCTTTCTTTGCTTCCTTCTTTCCTTCCTTCTCTCTTTTTTCTTTCTGTCTTTGCTTCTTTCTATGTTTCTTCCTTCATTCCTTCCTTTTTTCCTTTCTTTCTTTCTGTTCTGTTTTTGTCTTGGTTTTTGTTTTTGTTTTTTCCCTCCAGAATTTCTCTGTGTAGTCCTGGCTAGTAGACCAGATTAGCCTTGAACTTACAAAACTCCCCCTGCCTCTACCTCCCGAGTACTGGAATTAAAGGTGTATACCACAAGAACCAGGTTTTATACCTCCTTGATG